AGGTCATCATTTTCCAACATCAATTTCCCCTTTGTGATCTCTCTTCAGCTTCTTTATCCTATAGTGGATTGTGAAAATCTAGAATCTTGGTTAAGAAAACTTATGTATTTTCCTAATACCGAGCATTGGTAAGTTGTGGCTATCCTTCCTGGCTTCAAACGGAACTTTATTTGATTGTCACCTACCCTTAGCTGTAAAAAGGCAATTTTATGATTTTATTAAAAATATTTATTCTGATTACAATGGAATACATAGCAATTGTAGAACAATTTAGAAAACACTGAAGAGTATCAAGAAAAACTATAATTTGACCTTCCAGTGATAAGCCTCCGAAGTACTTATAGGTTTTGTATTTTCTTTTCATCTTTGTGTGTATTTATACTTATAAAACCTCTTTTTTTGACTGTATATAACATGAACATTGTCCCGTGTCACTATGTATTCGTCGATAATATGATTTTTTGGTGGTAGAATAGCAGCTGTTGTATGGCTATTTTATCCCCTGTTGTTGGACACCTAGGTTATTTCCAATTTAAAAAACAAATACATAGGCGTGTTTCCTAAAAGGAGAATTTCCTGTCATTTTTCAAAGTTATTTACATTTTAGCCTTCCTCATACTCAATGTCAAATTATCCTTCCCATAAGTTGTAAAGTTTGCTCAACCATCAACAGTGTATGAACGTTAAGTTAAGAAGAACTGCCAGTGATCTTAGGCCTATTTTTACCCATTTCATTTATAAAAGGACAGCTAAAAGGGCATTGCTACGTGGCCTAGGCCTAGGCCAATTACTGCTTGTGTCATAACAAGAGCAGCAACTGGCTCAAAACACCAGTCATTGTGATGCTGATGATGTGGTCTCCTTAAGGTTCTAAAAGATTGTTTGATGAAACTGCTTCAGTTCCAGATTTTTCTCTTAACCTTTTCTATCATGTTTACGGTGAGAATTCAAATGCTGTACAGCTACATACTGTAGCTACAGTATGCCTGGCCTGTAATTTGGTGCCATTTTTGTCTGTTTATTATACTAACAAGGTAGAAAAAGCAATCCCAGCCTCCTCGAAAGGTAAAACTCTACTATTTTTTGTATATTACTAGAGTTTTAAACTTAGGCTAGAGAAATGACAGTACATTTAGGAGTGTGAGTACAAAAGTTTTATGAAATATTTTGTAAAGAACACATTTAAATCCAAACTTAAATATTAAATTTAATTTCTTTTTTTT